CCTGCTAAGTGCAGGCCACATCACTGGCCCAGGCCCCGTCAGGCTTCCCCTGGACACCTCTTCCCCTCAGTGGCCACCCCCAGGGCCCACAGCAGACTCACGTGGTTAGGGTCACTGCTTGTTCAGTCACAGCGTGTAGCAGTTGCAGGTGTGGCCCCGCGCTCCTGCCACCCCAAGAGAATGGGGCAGGCCTAGAAAGTGCTGACAGGCTATTAGCCGCTGAGTGCTTAGCAGCCTGGGGAAATGGGAGGGTAGTGGGGACAGAGCTTAAAGACCACGACTGGGCTAGTCTCCTGCTAGCAAGCAGGCTCAACCACGGCCTGAACCAAACTGAACTCCCCTCTCAGCCCTGGGGCAGCAGGGAGGCATGCGGCCTGGGCTGAGAGGAGGGGGCTGTAGCACTGCCACACACCCCAGCCTTGGCCCGGACCTGAGCCCAAGCAGTGAAGTCAAAGTGCCTTCTTCCCCCCACACACCCGGCCTGTGCTTAGACACTGCATGAAGGGGGCTGCCCTTGTGGGACAAGGTGGCTCAAGCCAGGAGTTTAGGAACTGGCCGGGGACAAGGGAGGCACAAATCCCACTGGAGGCAGGTAAGACAGGCCTCTTGCAACAGTCACTTCCACTCTGGGGAGCACTTCCCTGGCTCCCATTAACAGCCGACGGGGCAGATGCAGCGCGGGTCTGGAAAGTGCACTGTGGCTGCCAGGAGCCAGGCTGTGCTGTGACTGACCGCCACAAGCTGCAGTGAGAAGCAAGCTCCATGCTGCCCCCCAGGGGAGAGCAGCAGCCCAGCGACTCCCAAGGGAGGAGAGAAGGGCCAGCTGCAGACACGTGGAAGAACAGAAAGGGAAGCCCCAAGCCTCAGGCCCCTTCTGCACACACTGGCAGTAAGAGAGCAGACAAAGGAGGCTGGGGCAGCATTACTGGTGCTGCGGAGGAAAGGGAACAGCTTTACCTAGCTTTCAACCCCAGGCAACAGCACCCACACAAGGGCTCACACTCACTGAACCCCTGCACCCACTACACAGCTAAGCGTGGGCCAGTGCCTGCAGGGAGCCCTGTGCCCACTTGGGGGGCCATTAGCAGGCGCCACGGCACGGCCAGGTTTTAAACCTTGCACTGGGTATTTCAGAGAAGGTAAATGATTCGCGTTCAGAAAACAGCATGTTCCCCAGACACCTCCCAACCCCAGCTCCTTCCCCAGGCCAGTCTCAGCCCCACACTCCCTGCACATCGACTGCAGGCTCCCCACACCTCTAAGCAGAGCCTGCAGGGCGGGGGGAGCAGGTAGACTCCAATTCTGGGCTGCTCTTTCCCCACCCCACGCCCCTCCTCAGAGAGGAGTCAGGGCCAGATGGGAGGCAAGACATTGCAGAACCAGTCCCAGGGGTCTCAGCCCTCCACACTCTCAGGGACTCCAGCACCACAGACAAGCGTGTGTGAAATCTCCCATGACCCTTGGGGAGGAGCCTATGCCAAGCACAGCTCCTGCAGGAGTCCCCCCAGCCGAGGCCAGTGGCTCAAGGGGCGGACGGCTAACCTAGCATAGTACCCCCAGCAGGATGGGCACCGTGTGCCGCTCGCAGGCCAGCCCAGCTGAGGACACTCAGGCTGCTCAAAAATGCTGACAGTTGGGTTGGGTGACGGGAGCCGTTCACACCCAGTG